CATTTTCAGGTTCTGCTTATGTGGACGTACATGTAAGGACACACGTTCATGACATTTTCAATGGAAGTTTTCGATGTAAAAATTCCGTGAAATGCAAAGTCTAGGCAATATCTTCATTTCAAGTTGCAACAAGGTAACGAGGAAACATGGGTTATTTTCCTTTGTTGAGGGAAATTAGAGAAAATTAAGCAAAAAGAGAGGAACAGACTTGCAGCTCATGTAACCACTGTAGGTATGCCTATGTAAGTACCCACAGTGAACAATATCTAGTTCCACTGCAGCCTTAAGTTTCACTGGCTTTAAAAACAATGAAAATTATTGCAAGAAAAACTAGCCTGTAAGAGCATCCGGTTTTTTTGGCTCTTGATTTTTTTTTGCATGAAACAAGAGCAGAAAAAAACAGGTGCCCTCTCACGCTAAAGAAAAACACAAGCAACTCGATTGAGCCATGTGTTTATGAGCTAGGTGCAATTCAACTGGAAGTCCGATATTTTCGGACTTCAAATCAGATCTCTCCAGGGTCGCTCGTTTCCCGACCGCCGGTCAAGGGGAACGAAGACTCTTGGTATGAGCCTGCTAGCATTCCAGTGGAAACCACCCACCAGTCTGTCTGCAAGAACAATTTGTGATATCACCAGAGATTTCGATCTTATCTGATACTCAGTGGGTGTTTACCGACTGGTGCGTAATTTTAGCAGTTTTGATCTTCAGGTTTGATTTGTGATACTCGATAAACAATTACACTGAGGCCTCCTCCACACGACGCCAGAGAAATTTGAAAACGCAGCTTTCTTTCTAAGGTTAGTTTTTCCGTCCACACTAATTCACCACGAAAACGGGCGCTCTTCAAACGAAAACACTGCCAGCTTTTTGTTTTAATGTGGACGGAAAACATTTTCAAAATGGAGCTTTTCCAAAATGATAACTTCACGATTTCCTCAAACACAAATCCAAAATGACCGGTGATTGTTGCGTTTCAAATTTCTCCAACAAAGTGTGGACAGGAAACATTTGATGTGTTTTCAGAGTGATTAACACCCTTTTCAAATTTCTCCGGCGTAGTGTTGACGGGGCATGAGTGTTTGCAGTTCCAGGGTAGCCATTCAAAGTTAACGCTTACATCCTGCATGAATGCCTCCAGATAGACTTGCCACAAGTAGACTTCTACTTCTATAAAATGAAGTCAACTTGTTCCGCGTGCTCGGTTTCAAATTTAAAATTTGTATCATTTTTGGCACGAAAACATGGGTGTGATGTAATGATTCACAGCCTACCCCTAATTCCCTGGAGTTTTTTGTTTTTGAAATATTTCAGAGCAAGCATCAGCAGAAAAACAAACCATAAGTCCAGTAACCACAGCCATGTATAAGATCAGAGTTTAAGACATTGTTTATTTAAAATTCAACAATTGACAGGCCAAAATTTTAAAAAATATCAACAAAAAGAACTCAACTTGAGGTGTATTATAATTGATGAGATGCGACAAAAGCCGAGAAAATTGAACACGCAAAAACGAGTTAATTATTGACTTTGGAGGACAAAACGAAACCGAAAACAACAAAATTTTGGGTAGGTAGGTAGGTAAGACTTTATTTTACGAGGGTAACATTTGACAGTATTAAAACTGATAACCTAATGGCCCTCAAAAATTAAAATTTTAGAAAAAGAAAGAAATAGTACAATCGTAACAATATTAAAAATAATTAAGCCTACATACATCGTAAAATATTTATAAAATGTGATTATTTACAAGTTTTAAAAAAATTTACAGGAATAGTTTGCTAAGAATTTGGTTATCTAAAATTATTTTAAAAAGGGAGCGCTTAAAATTTAAAACTTTAAACTTAAATTCGGGTAACCCGAAAACACTGACCCCCGGTCTGCGGACCCCCACAACGGACCAGGTCCACGGACTACCCTACGGAACCGGTCCATGGACTACCCCTATGGACCCCTTCTATGGACCACCCTAAAATAGTGTAAAAATAATAAATAAAGATTTCACTTATGGGTTGTCTAATTCAGACTCTTGTCGCTGATTTTTCAAGTGTTACACTGTGCAAATGTAACAGACTTGGGTTTTTAACACCCCACCCCCCATCTCCCCAAAAATGCCTAAAAGCTGTTTTCAACGTAAGGAGATGCCGATGGTAAGAAGGAAAGTTCTTACCTTCCATTCGTGGCTCAATCTGGCCATGGAAGATATATTTTTAGACCGTTTATTCTTGTTTGTATCTGTTATTTCGCTGAGTAAGTTGTAAAGCCTGGAATGAGTTCACAAACCCACTGGAAAATGGGCTGAACAAAATAGCAGAGGGGAAAGAACACAAATTTTGAGGCTTCTCGGAGGCTTCCCCGTACGCGTCTTTCGTATACTTTATGGCCACAGCAAAGGAAATGGCAATGTGTAATTATATAAATTGCACC